TACCCATTTCATTATGTAGGAGGTCAATTTTTTTATTGGAGTTAAAATTAACGTAGATATATGACACGAACCTAACCAACCCTACCTAACCTAACCTATCTTTGTAGGTGAGGTTAGGTTAGGTAGCCGAAAAAGTAGGTTAGGTTAGGTAGTCGAAAAACAATTAATTCATGAAAAACTTGGCCTATAAGGCAAATTGGGCCTTGCATAGTAGGCATAGAAGTGCATTCTGGCTACTAGGTACGACATTATAATATATATATATATATATATATATATATATATATATATATATATATAACTGAAAACTCACACCCCAGAAGTGACTCGAACCCATACTCCACAACTGGTATGTACAGGGACGCCTTAATCCGCTTGACCATCACGACCGGTCATAAGGAAGTGATAGCCGAGGCTATATGAACCACTTCCCCGCCGGCACTCGGATGGTAATCTTGGGCATAGCATTTTATCAAATCACCTCATTCTTTGGGGCACACGTGAGGAACACAAATGCAAACAAGCCTGAATGGTCCCCAGGACTATATACAACTGAAAACTCACACCCAGAAGTGACTCGAACCCATACTCCCACAACTGGTATGTACAGGGACGCCTTAATCCGCTTGACCATCACGACCGGACATAAGGAAGTGATAGCCGAGGCTATATGAACCACTTCCCGCCGGCACTCGGATGGTAATCTTGGGCATAGCATTTTATCAAATCACCTCATTCTTTGGGGCACACGTGAGGAACACAAATGCAAACAAGCCTGAATGGTCCCCAGGACTATATACAACTGAAAACTCACACCCCAGAAGTGACTCGAACCCATACTCCCACAACTGGTATGTACAGGGACGCCTTAATCCGCTTGACCATCACGACCGGACATAAGGAAGGATGTTTAGGATGTGTTTAACATAAGGATGTGTTTAACACACACATCCTGGGGGATGTGTGTGTTAAAAATATGTGTAGTAGACACAGTAGAGGAAAAATATGGTTAGAAAGGCGGGGTCCAAGAGCTAATAGCTTGATTGTGCAGGCACAAATAGTAAATACAGGATAGACATGATCTTTCTCTCTCTCTCTCTCTCTCTCTCTCTCTCTCTCTCTCTCTCTCTCTCTCTCTCTCTCTCTCTCTCTCTCTCTCTCTCTTGACAATTGATTTTTTGTATTTCATATATCCGTAAATACACACACATATAAATATCCCTTTTCCATTTTTCCTTCCTCTCTTTCCCCCATCCTAATCTTCCCTTTCTTCATGTCCCATGTGTGTCGGGTGAGGCATGCACCTCCCCAGGTGAGGGGGGTGGGGGGGGGCACCAACAACGTGGCTGTAGCCTCACCTGTCATCAGTATTGCTGCTCGCCTCACCACGCTCCTCACTTGGGCAGGAAGGCAGAGTGATTACTTTTAATTGAGTTCATTTATTTTGCACCCCATGCCCATCCTGTGAGTGGTAGTGGACCCCAAGCCCATCCTGTGAGTGGTAGTGGACCCCATGCCCATCCTGTGAGTGGTGGTGGACCCCATGCCCATCCTGTGAGTGGTGGTGGACCCCATGCCCATCCTGTGAGTGGTAGTGGACCCCAAGCCCGTCCTGTGAGTGGTAGTGGACCCCAAGCCCGTCCTGTGAGTGGTAGTGGACCCCATGCCCATCCTGTGAGTGGTAGTGGACCCCAAGCCCGTCCTGTGAGTGGTAGTGGACCCCATGCCCGTCCTGTGAGTGGTAGTGGACCCCAAGCCCGCCTTGTGAGTGGTAGTGGACCCCATGCCCATCCTGTGAGTGGTAGTGGACCCATGCCCATCCTGTGAGTGGTAGTGGACCCCAAGCCCGCCCTGTGAGTGGTAGTGGACCCCATGCCCATCCTGTGAGTGGTAGTGGACCCCAAGCCCGTCCTGTGAGTGGTAGTGGACCCCATGCCCATCCTGTGAGTGGTAGTGGACCCCAAGCCCGCCCTGTGAGTGGTAGTGGACCCCATGCCCATCCTGTGAGTGGTAGTGGACCCCATACCCATCCTGTGAGTGGTAGTGGACCCCAAGCCCGTCCTGTGAGTGGTAGTGGACCCCATGCCCATCCTGTGAGTGGTAGTGGACCCCAAGCCCGCCCTGTGAGTGGTAGTGGACCCCATGCCCATCCTGTGAGTGGTAGTGGACCCCATGCCCATCCTGTGAGTGGTAGTGGACCCCAAGCCCGTCCTGTGAGTGGTAGTGGACCCATGCCCATCCTGTGAGTGGTAGTGGACCCCAAGCCCGTCCTGTGAGTGGTAGTGGACCCCATGCCCGTCCTGTGAGTGGTAGTGGACCCCAAGCCCGCCTTGTGAGTGGTAGTGGACCCCATGCCCATCCTGTGAGTGGTAGTGGACCCCATGCCCATCCTGTGAGTGGTAGTGGACCCCAAGCCCGCCCTGTGAGTGGTAGTGGACCCCATGCCCATCCTGTGAGTGGTAGTGGACCCCAAGCCCGTCCTGTGAGTGGTAGTGGACCCCATGCCCATCCTGTGAGTGGTAGTGGACCCCAAGCCCGCCCTGTGAGTGGTAGTGGACCCCATGCCCATCCTGTGAGTGGTAGTGGACCCCATACCCATCCTGTGAGTGGTAGTGGACCCCAAGCCCGTCCTGTGAGTGGTAGTGGACCCCATGCCCATCCTGCGAGTGGTCCAACTCACAGCGAGTCCTTTGGTCTAACAAAAGTCGTGAACAATTTCTGTAATATTTCGCCGTCCATGTATTTAAAGGCAATTATGAAATTAGAAAGTGTAGCATAGGCTTCTCTCACGCTGTTCTTTATTTGGTCCTCAGGTGATAGTTTTCTATCACCACCCTTAGATCTCTTTCTTTAACAGAATTCTTTAAAGATTTCTCACATGATTTATAGGTTGTGTGGGGGATCTGTTCTCTTATTCCACATTCCATAACTTGACATTTATTCACATTAAATTATATTTGCCAAGTAGTGCTCCATACACTTATTTTGTCCAGGTCTTCTTGAAGGGCATGACAATCATCTAAGTTTCTTGTGTGAATAAGTGTGTGTGTGGCCATCTAATTTTACTCGTCTAATTGTGCCTGCGTGAGTTGAGCTTCGGCTCTTTGATCCCGCCTCTCAACTGTCAATCAACTGGTGTGTATCATATTTATAATTGAAACTGTATGGAGTCTGCTTCCACCACATTGGTGCCTTGTGCTTTCATTTGTTAACTACTCTGAA